GTCCCTCTGAGTTTGGCCCTCGGTGGACATCCCATCATAGTCAGCTCTACCCTGGGCTTCCTCATTGGACGCCTCCAGGGTGGGGTCCAAAGTGGTGAGAGCTCTGCAGCCAGACGGCTCCGGGCTCCAGCCTGGCTCCCTCATGCTCAGTGTGCTGCCTTGGGAAAGGCCTCACTGCCCTGTGCACAGTCGGAAGCCCAGGATCATAAGGTGCTGTGGGCTGAATTATGTCACCCACAAATTTTATCTGTTCATGTCATGGCCCTCACTACTGCTGAATATGACTGGTTTTGGAGATGGGGTCTTTTAGGGAGATTAATGTACAATGAGGTCACCAGAGTAGACCCTCATCCAGTAGGATTGGTGTCCTAATAAGGAGAGGTTGGGGCACAGACATGCACAGAGAAGAGACCACAGGGGATGAAACACGTGCAAGCCAAGCAGAGAGGCCTCAGAGGGGACCACTCCTACCAACACCTTGATGTTGAACTTCCTGTCTCCAGAACTGTGAGAATTTGAATTTCTGGGGTTTACACCCCTAGTGGCAGCACTGTGTTATGACAGCCCGAGCCAGCGAACTCAGTGGGTTGCCAAGAAGATGGAGGTTTTCCTACAAGTAAAGTGTGGGGTGCGACTTGGCCTGGCCCAAAGTGGACACCATCCACATGGGGTGGGTCTGTATGATGGGGCCGCTCTGCAGGTGGGAGGAGGAGAGGGAAGGGAAGAACTTGGTAAGAGGAGGAAACCCCGCGAGAAAATCACTCTTTCTCCTCCCCTAGCTCTGCACTCTGCAGGGCTGCAGCTTGAGTCTGGCCACCCTGCTCCTCCTCTCCCAAGGGCAGGACCAGCCCTGTGGGCTTTGCTCAGGCTGCTCCTTCTGCTGGAGAGGCCCATCACTACGCCTACACCTGGTTACCTTCCTCCCATCTGTGGATCCAGGTGTTCTGAGTAGTTGGACTGAGGTGAGGCAGACCCTGCAGTACCTGAAGTGGGGAGCAGGGACAGTCAGAGCCTGGGTGGTGAGGGCTGACACAAGAAGAGGGTGGGCTGGGAGAATACAAGGAGGGAGAGAGGGTGGGTCTGGGCATGGGACAGGTGAGCTGGGGGATGGAAGGGGAGCAGGGTTGTATGAGAGAGAAGTCATCCTATTTCACAGAGCAGGACCAGAGCCAGAGACGCTGGTAGTACCGAGAGTGGGGACATGCTGTGTTCCTCTTGCTACAGTCAGTCCTTCAGCCTCTCTGCTCCAGCATCCAAGGGAATCCACCTCTTCCTTCCCCCCTATTCTCTCCTCCACATCTCCCCTGCCCCTCCCCCTCACCTCCTATTCTTCCTGCTCCATCTGCCCCTTTCCTGCTTCCCCTTCCCACTTTCTCTTCTCTTCCTGCTTCTTCACCCCTCCACTCCTTTCAGGTGGTTCCACTTCACTTCCCACCTTTTCTGGCTTCAGGTCTCAGTCTTTCCAAAGGCGGAGAGATGTTCCCCCCTTCCCTGTCCATCTCCCAGTGCTTGGTCTCAGTGTGGACACCAGTGTAGTTCCCTCACAGGCCAGTGGGGTTGTTATGAGGCCACAGAGACTGGTGGACCACAGGCTCAGGGATTAGGGGGATATGGTGACATCAAATGACAGGGGTGGCTTCTGATAATGACAGGTCAGTGGAATGGCAGAGAGGAGCCTGGAGTCATGAACATCCCAGACCTTCCCTCCTGTTGGGATGTTGGGTCTGGTTTGCTTGACCATCAGGCCTGAATCTTCCCCTACAAAGGTGCCCATGTGAGGATCCAGTGGGTGGAGACCTGTTGTGTGTCTCTGTGGTGTCTGTGTTCTTTAGAAGTGTTGCATATTTTTGGCATGTCTGTGTGTATAATAATGTGTATATATGTTTATACATGTGTCTGTGACCTCTGGGTGTACATGTGTGTATATGTGTGTCTGTGGTATCTGTGTGTATTGTGTGCACATATCTGAGTGGTGGGTGTGACTGTAAGGCACCTGTGGTGAGTGTGCATGTGTGCACACTGAGAGCTCAGCTTCTGAAAAATGACATCCACAGACAACACCATGCAGAATGCAATCCATCCCATGTTTTCCTGCTTTGTTTTCCTGCAAATTCCTCAACACCAATCTATATAACATATAAGTCTACTTACTCTACTTCCTGTGACTCTTTGACTCTGGAGCTCAGGCCAGCACAGGGGAGGAACTGCAGGAAGTGTCTTGGAAGAAGTGGGGCTGAGGGTTTGGGGTGGTTGAGACCACCTGGGCAGAGACTAGAAGTCTGCAGACAGAAATGTGAGAAACACAGAAAAAGGGAAAGCCTGTCCCGGACTGTAAGAGTTACAATCAGCTCGGATGGGGAAACACAGAAAGCATGCATGAAGGTATTCAGCTGGCTGTGGGGACAGATATAAAGCTAAAAGGAAACGTGATTTCTCCTAAGGTCTTGGAAGAGCTGTCAAGTGTCAGAAGGACCCCAATTTGAGTGATGAATGTTCTCTTCCAGTGATGCTTTGAGTCTGCTTTGGTTATTCCCATCTAATGAGTTAGCACAGCGTCCTGTACATAGTCAACATCCATCCAGGGAAAGAAGCCATGTATGAGGAAGGTGGCACCCAACAGGTCTCCACGCCCATGACCAGTATTACTGACCTGGGAGGTCACCAAACCCTCCCTCAGCCCCTCCCACTCTGCCCTGGGCCTGAAAGATGGTTGGCCACCAGGGGGCGCTCAATCCACGACGGAACACTGAACCCTAGGAGACTCAGGCAGGGTCGGTGCCACTGTCCACTGTGCTGAAACCGCGTCCGGAGGCGAGGTCAGGTACCTGCCTCCCAACTCTGCAGAAGGGCCTGACTCCAGAGACTTATGTCCCAGTTTGGGGTCAGGAGGGGAAAGGTGTGCAGGCTGACGGAACCAGGGCAGGGGAGTAAACAATCAGGTGTCGTCAGTCTGGGCTCCTCTCTCTGCTCCATCTCCCCCCTCTCCTGTTCACTCTCAGGCATTCTCTGTCCTGAGGAGGATATCTGTCTGCCCCACATGGCTGAGCCGCAGGCAGGAGGATATTCTTCTCAGGGTTCTGTGTTTCTCACCCTCTGGATGACTCCTAAGTAACTCTCTTCATGCCAGCTGCACCAGAACAAACAAAACCAACACAAGAAATCTAAAAGTGAGAGGCTAGCCCTCCCAGCTGACAAAGGAGAAAAGTGAGGGTCAGAGTCAGGTATACTAGACACTATGCTGGAGCCTTTCTCCAGTCCTGCCCACCCACTCTGTGCTTCTGGGCAGGAGGAGATACTCTCAGTCCTGATGGGAAAAGTAGGCACTTCCTGGCTCCCACTGGCCCTCTTGCTGGACTCGCTGCTACTGTCAGAGAGACCTGGAGAGGGAGGCACCTACCTGGCTGCCTCCTGATTCTCAGTCGGTATTTGGGAAACAGTGGGTTGAGTGTCAGTCCTCTGTTGCTCTGGGCACTGAGGGGCCCTGCCTCTGCATTGTCCCTCATGCCCTGGGCTCCTAAACCAATTTACCTTCTTCTTATCTCCAGAATTTTATGGTGGCCTCTTGCATGAGTCACAGGGTGTATGGCTATGAGTGGAGGGGAGGAGTCAGGAACAAGGGTCAACACCATCCTCTCTGCATTGGAAGTCTATCTATAAATTATTAATGTTTCAACAACCGGTTGATGTGCATTGTCCTGCCTGGCACTCTCATGAACACAAGTCTGACTCAGCTGTTCCTTCTGGGTGCCGGGCAGTGGGATTTAGGGACAGGCATTGTTTTACACTACACTTGTCCTTAAGGATCACTTTATGAATGTATGGTGTAACTTCTTCCCTGTCTTGATTTTGGTTCAGCAGGAAAATTATGACCTGTTTTTGTTTAAATTGATTTTAAGTTCCAGTATGAGTTATCTTTCCCAGGCCAGCATGGCTCAGTTGGCTGAGGCATCATCCTGTAGACTGAAAGATTGTGGGTTTGATTTCCATTCAGGGCACATGCCTAGGTGGCAAGTTCCATCCCTGCTTGGGACTCTCTCTATATATGTAGAGAGAGAGAGAGAGAAAGAGAGAGACAGATATATCTTTCTTCCCAAAGCAATAAAAAAATACTCCTTGGGTGAGGATAGATAATAATGAACAAATGTGAAGGTTTTCAGGCGGAAGATTACAGAATCCTGCTTCCCTCCACCATCTCAATGAAGACATGTAATATTGAAGGAGAAGAAGGTATTAGCCAGAGGATGGCATGGTGATGGGCATTCCTGGAGGAGGGACATGGATGCTCATAGACAGAAAAGAACACATCACAACGGGAGTCCTCACAGACTGGCTTGAGTGACTGACAGCTTAGAATATGGTGACAGGGGAGTGGGCCAGGTGAGATTAAGAATCACTCTAAACATAGGGGAAAACACTATAACCAGAGGGCTGCTTGCATTTGCCAATAAAATGTTGTGAAACTGTGACATTAACTCATTTCCAGATTGTCTATAGTGGTGTTTGTCCTGCAAACAGAACTACATCATTGCAACAGAGACCATACAGCTTGCAAAGCCTAAAAATTTGCTTTCAAATTTTTCAAATTTTGTTCCTCTCATATTTTTCCCATGACTCCTGACCTAGAACAACAAGTTGAAGCCTTGTAAAGTGTTCTGGGCTGAGAAGACAGAGCAGTATCTTGACTTGGTCATCTCTGAGTTTTAGAACATTATATAAATGTCAACACGTGCTTTTGCCCACAGCAGGACTAGTGGCAGGCAGGCAAGATGGAAAGGGAAGTTACCAGAGTGGAGAGAGATGATGGGAAGAAACCCACAGCAGGGATTTGAGTAGAGAGCAAGGCTGACATGTTGCAGATGTGGTGTCCAGGATAGGACAAACACCCAGCCTCTAAGTGGTATGACACTCACTCTCACAGTGCACCAGGACCTCTGCTGAGTGTTCTGCATATGGACTTTTATTCAACCCTGAAGCAACTCTGTGAGGTGGAACTTCTTACACCTAATCACAAAGCAGGGAATGGAGACATGGAGGGGTAAGATGGTTGACTGGCTGCCATATTCAAAATAAATGGAAGAGCATGAACTCGATCCCAGTTCCTGTGATTGCAATGCCTCAGACAGTGTCAACATCACAGGAAATGCATGTACAGTCGTTTATGCACTCCTTGCCCATGGGGACATTAAGTCTCCAAGAATGAGTCTGCTGACATGGACACGCTGGCTTCCTACTAGGTCCTCATCTCTGTGTATTTTGTGTGGGTTCTCTTCTGAGGAGGATTCATTTCTGAAATCTGATGGAAGCATAATACACCTCTGGCTCTCTTTCCAAGATCAGGCTGTCCCATGTAGAGTGTGTAGGGTCAGCAGGGCTGTCTGATGTGGGTTTTGTCTGGTGACCCTGTGGGGAGAGCAAAGAATGGGGTCAGAGCAGGGAGTCAATGGAGTGGGGAGGGTCCCCTGAAGTGGATTTGAAAGTGACAGGACCTTTGTTCATTCTTCCAATCTTTTATTTAATACCCATTTTTAACCTGTACTATTGGGGTGTGTGTGTGTGTGTGTGTGTGTTTCTATGAGAGAGAGAGAGACAGACAGAGAGAGAGGGAGGGAGAGAGAGAGAGAGAGAGAGAGAGAGAGAGAGACATTGATGTGAGAGAGAACATCAATGGGTTGCCTCCCATACACACTCTGACTGAAGATTGAATCTGCAGCCTAGGTTTGTGCCCTCAGCAGGGATCGAAATCTCAAATTTTTCATATATGGGATGATATTGCAATGAACAGAGCCACCCCACCAGGGCTATGAAGTATTTCTCAAGGTCCCATGTCTTCAGTTACCCAACAAACATGCCTCTTATAGGTTGCTACCAATTCCACTCAACAGGCACACAGACCTCTGTGTAAAATGTAATTATTTTTACAAATAAAGAAAGTAAGACTGAAAGAAGGTATGTGCTTCTCAAATGTCTTTCATATGTCTATGGTTTGGGAACACAACCCCTGGGCTCTCAGGGGTCTCCCACGTGCCAGGCCCTGGATAGAGTAGAAGGGGTTTATGAAAATTGACTTCTCTTTCTGTGTGTCTCTCCTTTGCTGTTACACTGAGCCATTCTGTGATATCAGCTGAGTGACCTACAACAGGGTTGAACTCTGACACTGTCTACTTGCAGTATTCTCTGATCCCACACATCAGGGGCTGTGTCCCAGAAGATTGACCCCCACAGTGCCACATCAGATGCCAATCACAAATCCAGGTTGTCACTCCTTCCTTGGCTGCCAAGTTAACTGCAACATTTCTCAAGAGGCTTTGCACTTCCTCTTCTTCCAGTCTCACTTGAACTCGCTCCAATCAGGACATTTGCCTCCTCCTGGCCACCAGACCCGTGTTTGTCCACAGCAGCTCTGATACCACTCAGTTCAGTCTGAATGGCCATTTCTCAGACCCTGTCTCACCATACTTACTAGCATGTGAGCAAACATGGACAGTCTCTCCTCCTCAAAGTTCACTCCCTTCTGGCCCCCAGGACCCAACCCCACACTCTCTTGGACGTTCAATTTCTTCAGTGGTCTCCTTTCTGGGTCCACCATGTCTCCCTGACACTAAACACTGGAGGGAGAGGTCTCAGAGCTCTGTCTGCAGACCCCTTCTTATTTCGGTGCTGTCGTCCACTATCAGACCTTGAGTGGAGGATCCCCAAATCTCCGCACTTCCCACCTGCCCCCTCCTGAGCTCTGGACTCTGACCATCTGTTTTTTGTCTTCAGGTAAACATTTCAGATGCACCATAAACTTATGGTAACTGAAGCCAGGTTTCCTCTCTCACACTGTACTCCTCCTGAGAGGTGGCCATTTTGGGAAATTGTAATTAAGTTCTTAAAGTCTCAGGGTGACCACACGGGAGCCCTCCTTGGTGACTGAGGATGTTTATGGACATCTAGGACCATCTATGGACCACTATGGCATCACCAGACATCTATGACATTCATGCAGTCACCTCTGACACCAATGACACCTGTGAGGTAGAGTCCATGGGCTCTCTTTGCTCCCAGCCCAAGTACACCCCACACTCCATTGGTAAATGTGATTGACTCCACCTTCAAAATGTATCTAGAACCCAACTGTTTCACACCAAATTCATTGCTGTTACCCTTAATCAGTCTGTCATATGACTGGCCTGTGCCCCCATATTTATGGGTAGAAACTCTAACTCCCAATGTGACTGTACTTGGCATTTGGGACTTTGGAAAAGGATGCAATTTTAAAAGGGGTCATTAGGGCAGGACACAAAATGATTTAAATCTCCATAAGAAGAAGAAGCATAAATGCGTGGACACACAGAAAAGGCCATGAGAGGACTCAACCAGAAGGTGGCAATCAGCAAGCCAAGGAGAACATTTTTAGGAGAAACGTTTTACATCAGTAACATAATGCTTTATAAATATATAGATTTTACCCAAGCTTCCAGAACAGTTGACAAGTGGGAGATATTTGCTGAAGGAAAAGATCAGTGCTCGGGTGCTGTGAATCATGTGCTCAAAGACCTCACCGCAGTGCCCTCATTGGTGCACAAGTGAGAGCCAGAGTGCAGAGTGTGAGCAGGAACTGGGCAGTGATGCAGGCATGTGACAGGGCGGGGAGAGATGGTGGGTGATGCTGAGATGCGAGTGAGCAGGCAAGTGTGGGAGGCAGGAAGCACTGAATGTGACCCTGGTTTTCCGGCCTCAAATGCCAGACCAAGTGGCCTGGGCCTCAGCAGCTCAGTGCATTTCGGACTTGGGTGGGATGGGGTGGTGCTGTTTCATGGAAGCAATGCTAACAGGCATGTGGGGAAGGAGAGGTAGAGTGGTGGCAGTCAGGGTGCAGCGAGGCATCAGCAGGATAAGGACTAAGAGGGGAGCTCAGCTTGAAGGGAATGCCTGTGCTAAGCTGTGTTCAGAACAAGCATGGACAAGATTTGCAGAGCCTTGCTGCCAGAAGAGCTGGTGGAGGAGGGACAGAGACAGTTCTGTGATTGGGTGTTAGGGACAAGAAGACCAGTGGCAAGGTGGATATCCAGCACTAGTGTGTTTGTGGGGGTATTAACCACATCTTTCTTTGTTGTGACACCAGGGGCTTTGCTCCCCTAGAAAAACAGTCCCTGCCAGAACTTGCAAATGGCTAGAGATAGGGAAGGACTTGCCTGCAGATGTGACAGGAACACAACAAACTAGCCAGTCCCAAGGGAACAGCCCCTACCACCCCCTTTATGGAGCTCTTCCACCCCAGCCCCTTCTCCTCCTGTCCTAATCCCACCAGGACCAGGAACCAGGCAACAAGAGGCAGCTCCTACATCTAGAGCCCACTGACATCATTCAAACCAGCCAGGCCTAACCCTGCTTCCTCTGCCTCACCTCCCCTTTCCCAGGTAACCCTCCATCAAGGATATGCCCACGTGTCCCCCTCTCTCCTTCTGTCTGCATCTGACTGACCCCCGGACTGCCCCGTCTGGCCCTGTAGTGTGGCTTTCCCTCTGCCTCTTGGGATGTGGGAGCAATAAATGGTGGTACTTGTCTCCCAGGTGTGTTGGCCTGATATACTGAATAATAATAAAATCTACACTTTCAAATAGAAGTACAATGTTGGAGACCCCATTTTTGTCCATGGCAACTGGAGCTCGACTGTGGGCCACCCAGGAAAGAGGGTGGGGTGTGCAGGCTGCCCACCAGATGCTCAGGTCACTCACCGAGGGAGCAGGTGCTGTGGCAGTGTGGGTGTCCTCCATGCCCCCTGCTGGCCTGGCTGCTGTCTTCCTGTGGGTCCTCTTCACTCTGGGGGAGACACCAGGGTCTTTGCCAGGAGGTCCCTCTCTGAGGCTGGAGTGTGTGGCTAGGGCAGGTGCAGGGTGGGGCAGACCAGGAACCTTCATAACAAGACTTTCTAACCAGGTCCCCCTGATTTTGGACATCTGGGGCCACAGCTGGGAACACACTGAAGCCTGGCTCAGCAGCAGGATTCTCACCACTACTGCACCCCAGCCCTCCATGGGGCCTCCCAAGCCCTCCAGCCCCTGTTCTGCACCTCGGACCCACACCCTATGCAGCTCACAGGAAGTAGGTGGCACAGAGGCAGCCAGCAAGCAGCATGGTGACACCAGCTCCCACGATGGCCCCATGGACCACGTCTGTCCTGGTCTCTGGTTCCCCTGCACACGAGAGAGGCTCGGGGTGAGCTCCAATCTGAATGTGTAGGCCATGTCCCTTTCTCCTGGATAACGAAGACAGGGGTGCCCCTCAGCTCCCAAGCGGGTTCAGCACTGAGGTCCCCCAGAGCCACAGCATAAAGGGGTATGGTCTATGAACACCCCCTTATATGGTCCCTATGCTCCTGGGCAGCACATCTCATCACTTCTGAGACCAGGTCCCTTTCCACCTGGGTGTCTCTGAGGCAGACGCACCCTGGCTGCACAGAACCTTTCATCTCAGGATTGCGTGGGCATTCCCACAGAGACACGCAGAGAGCTGGGGGGTGCTGAGAGACTTGCCTCTCCTTCCTTCCTGGGAAGCATTCTGAATCTTCTATCCTCGTTGCATCTGGCCCTGTCACTCAGGGTTCAAGGTGGTCTTTGTGCCTCCAGAAAGGGGCACCATCAGGGAGGTTCTCAGACTTTCTAGGAAACCCCAAACCACTGACTTGCTTCCATCTGACCCGTCTCCCAGGAGCCCCACGCCCATGGTCAGGGTGGTGTCTCTGGGCACCACCTGTGTGACGGGACCAAACAGAGTCCCTGTCCAGTGGGGGTGGGGACCAGAGGCTGTCACCAAAGGGAACAGGGCTGGGGGAGTGCTGGGCTCCAGAGACAGGCTGGGGTCAGGGGTGAGGGGCCGACAGTCACAAAATACCCCAAAGAGAGTATTCTGAGCACTGAAAAGTCTCTGTGTGATACTGTAAAAGTGGACACAACCCATCACACAAAGTCCAGACCCACAGCACGTCCAGCACCACAAGTGGACCCTAAAGTAGATGGTGGGTTGTGGGTGATGGTGCCGAGTCACTGCAGGCTCATCGATTGTACACATGTCCCCTCGGGTGGCGGATGTGCTTGTAAGAAAGGGAGCAGCAGGTGTATGGACAATCATTCCACCTCTTGCTAAGTCTCACTGTCGTCCTACACCTGCTCTAAACACTGCATCTCCTGGAAAATGCCCTAAATATGGGTGACTGAAGGAAATGCCTCCTTTAGGATGGGCAGGGAGGAGATTGTGGGTCACCCTTGGGGGACAGCAGGAAAGGACATTGGGGATGAGGCCTGAAGGAGGTTCCTTCACCTAACCATATCCTGTCCCTCTCTTGGGCTCTGGTGGACTTGCTCTGAATGAGCTGGGCACAGACCCCTCTTCAATCAACGCCAAATCGGCAGGAGGATCCTTCCCACCTGGGCCGTCTCCCAGGCAGGCAACAATGGCTGGGTTCTGCGTGGCACCTGGGACAGGAAGAGAGGAGTTTCCTCTTCATTGGGTGAGACGGGATGAGATTCGTGTAGGCATCACCCCATCCTCAGAGACCACAGAAATGCAGGACACACAGGGATGTGCCCTCTGAGTCCCCTGCTCAGCCAGGCCTCCAGTAGAAAGGCACCTGCACAGCAGCCTGGCTCTCCTGTCCCCACACCCTCAGGGACCCTGCCGTTCTGAATCAGCACTCACAGGTGACGTTGAGCTGGATGGTTCTCTCCACAGTCACACCTGCTGCAGGAAATTGCACCTGACAGGTGAGGTTTGTCCCATGGTCCTGAGGCCGTGGGGTGAGGGTGAGCACAGAAGACAGTTGTTTCCTGGGACCCAGGGAGGTGTGAGCAGCTGACATCCAGGAGAAGAGGGGGGGTGTGCCCCGCTCACAGGCCCAGGGCACAGAGCAGGTCAGGTTCATGGGGCGGCCAGACTCCAGGGCCCCCGGGATGAGGATGTCAGGTGTGTGGTTGAGGGCTGGTAAGGAAATGGGGGGAGAGAAGATCAGGAGTGGGGGTCCCAAGTACAGCCCTCAGAGAAGCCTCAGGCTTTGGTCCAGATCATCCCTCTGAGCCCCACCATGCTGTTACCCCCTCCACCTCCCAGGATGGGCCCATCGCAGCCCTGCCCTGGGGCCACCGTGAACTTCCCTGTGGCCTGTCCAGGAAACTGTTCCTTACCCTCCACACACAAGGTGAGCTTGTTCTGTATGAAAGAATGTTTTAACATAGTTTTTCCCTCCACCCGGAAAAAGTACGATCCACCATCTGTCCTTCTGGCATCTCTGATTTCCAGGGAACAGTTGTAGTTCCTGGGATCCCCAAGGAGGAAGAATCGGCCCTGGGTCTCCTCCTGCACTTTGCGATTGTGCTTGTTTGTGGCAACCGGAGCATCCCAGTCTGTCTTAGCCCCATCTCGGAACCAGTAGCCATAAGTGGGGGGATCATAATACCAGTTCTCCGGGTAGATGAAGGAGCAGGGCACAGAGACACACAGGCCCTCCTGCACTGTCACCGGCCCCTGTACGATCACCTTGTATCTTCCATCCTGAGCCAGGGACCCTGCAGGGAAAGCAGGGTCAGCAGCTGCCCTCACCTACCCACAGCCTTCCCCTCAGGCTCTTACCTGCCCACAGCAGGGCCAGCAGGAAAAGCAGCAGCATCGCTGACAAGGAGGGTGTCTGGTTCCTGTGGGTGAAAAAGAATGAAGGCTGTGGGAGAGGTGCTGTGGGGAGACCACGGAAGCTGGGAGGAGCACGAGATCTCGGCTGTTTGTAAAAGAGGAACCTCAGGGCTAAAGTGTGCCCTCTCTGCACAGAACTGGAAAACACCCCCGCCACCCAGGAATACTGGCCATCCACCTAGAGAAGAGCCGACAGGGAGCCGACCCTGAGTGCTAGTCCCTTGGCAGCTCCCCTGCAGCACTGGGGCAGCAGCAAGACCCCTGAGGACAGACACGTGAGTCTCCTAAGGGCCCCCATTAGAGGGGCTGGTCATCTCCTGCCTGAGCAGGAGGTGAGAGCCTCACCTGAGCAATGTGCTGGGTCCCACAGGGTGTAGGACTCCTAATGTTCCTGTGAGAGTCAGGGAGAAAGGAAGAGGGGGGCCCTGTGAGGAGAAGGCAGTGCTCACTCACTCAATCATTCACTCAGTCATTCATTCACAAGCACTTGGTGAGCATCTAAATGTCAGTTGGTTGAAGACAAGACAAGAGGGGACCCATGGACCTGCTCTGTGTCCCTGAGAAAGTCCCCACCACAGACATCCCTCCCTCCCAACACAGGAAGGCTGTGGTCACTGAGGAGTTGACCACGTTTCCTGCTCACATGCTGGCTTTATTCTAAAAATACAAGTGTGGGGTGTTTTGAAAATCTAGCATGCTGAGGAACTGCAAGGCTGTTTTCCAAAGCAGGTGCACAGCTTTGCAGTGGAAAGCAAATCAGAAGAGGTCACTTTCCTTCGTACTCATTCCCACAGTTCTTTGGTTTTTTACTTTTTGTATAATAGTCAACTCACAGAATCATGGTGAATCTTCTTTATGTAATTTAATTTAAATATATCTCATATTGGTAATATTGAATGTATTTTCATGTATTTATTGACCATTTCTACATCTTAATAGAAATGTCTACTAAAATAATTGGGCAAATTATAAGCAGGGTTCTTTCTGATCTTTTCCTTGTTGTTAATGAGAGTTTTTCTGCATGGGATTTATTTTTTATTATTGCTTCACATGAACATCTTGGATATATTCTGGATACTAGTCATTCATTAAGTCTATATTATACATATTTTTTCCAAGTCTATAACTTTTTCTTTAACTCTCTTAATAATGGCTTTTGCAGAACAACAAGCTCCTGTTCCCCAGACATGTGCCTCTCACAGGGTGACCCTCTATTGCATCAGGATGTGGGAGAACAAGGCAAACTAGGTCTGGAGGCAGATGGGGACATTCATGGGGGGCAGCAAGTCACATGGGCAGTGCAGAGGGTGAATATTGGCCACCTGAAGTCATGATGGTACCTGCAAACATTACTGGATCAGGAAAAGGGGTTCTTGCAGTTGGGATGGAAGTGAGGATCTTGACCTGGAGAGGATCCTCCATTGTCAGGTTGGTCCCTGAATGTAGTCACATGTGTCCTCCAAGGAAGACACAGCAGGTGACTTTCTGCACACAGAGCAGGATGAGGCAGTGTGGCCAGGGGACAGGCTGCAGTGACCTAGAAACCAAACAAGGATGGCCGAGAGCCCCAGCCCCTGGGAATCACAAAGGTAGACTCTCTCCTCGAGCCTGTCAGGGCGTGAGTCCCACTGATGACTCGATTTCCGCAAATCAGAACTCATTTCTCATCACAGGGTTTAGGATATGAGACCCCAAGGTGTGGCAACTAGTCCTTCTCTGTTCCAGGGGTCTCAGTTGAGAACTTAGAAGGACAGAATGAAAAGATATTTTACTTACTGCATGAACTTCTGACCCCAAGGGCCAAGAGAATAAACCTTTACCAAAAAAGGCTCTGAGTGCATGGTAACTTGTTTCAATGGCCTCAGGAATGTAACACAGGCAGGAATTCATGGGGAACCTCTGGGGAAAAGCAGGGAAGGAATTGAGAAAACTCTTTTTCCTCAGGACCCACTCCACTGTTTCCCTTTGCAGACAAACTCCTCAGGGGTTTTCTGGACCCTGGGTTCCCATATCCCCTTCTCCAGTTCCCTCTTGATCCTACTCCAATCACATCTTCACACCTTTCCCACCAACCACTGAAACCCAGTGACGATGTGTTTTCTTGTGTCTTCTCTTCTCTGTGGGTCACCAGAGCCTGTCCTACCTTACCACTGTCACCCTGTCACAGTGTCACACCTGCCCACATCTCCAGTCCTGACCACCTCCTCATCTCCATCATTCACACCTGCTCTCTCTCTGATGTCCCCCGGTGGTCATGAGGTAGCTTCTCAGAATGAACATCCCCTCAAAACCCCTCTCTGGTCCCTGAAACACAGGCCCCTCCTTCTGTGGCTCAGTGCTCTAGTGTCTTCTCAGATTTAAATTCTATCCTCTTGTCTCCAGAAGGACAGTTTCTGGATGACATGGATTTTGGTGCTGGGTTCACAGTCACATCCCCAGTGTCTACAAGAGTGCACACAGTAGGGATTCAGTCACACTACCAAAAAGACTATACATAAACAAGTAAACATTATTTTTTCCAAAACCACATAAGAATTACACACACACTTGGAGGTGTAAGAATCTGAAGGGAAGGGCATTTCAGCAGGACGAGCTGCACATGCAAAGACTCAGAGTCACAGAGGCCCTGGCCAAGCTGGGAGCAGAGATGGTGTGAGATTCTGGAAGAGGGTGGGATCCAGTAGGGAGTCCAGCAGGGCACAGGCCTCGCCAGTTCTAAATCCAGCCTATGGATTTTGCCTCTGGTCCCCAGCCACAGAGAGGAAACATCACTGATCAAACCATGTGGGACATGGATGACAGGTGTCTGCAAACAGAGCTGGGAGGCCTGGGTTGAGGACCGAGGTGGACGCAGGACATTGATGGGTGCAGAGATCCAGGAAGAGATAAAGCCCCAGGAATGACCAGGGTCAGCATGGGGAGGAGATGGACATTCAGCTGAGCTGTGATAAGAAGGAAGGGTAGACAAGACTTAGTGGTTTACTGAGTCACAAAGAAGGAAGGGAGGGCACTGTGTCATCTGTGTGACCAGGACCCTGTAAAGAAGTAGGCTCAGGGAGGAAGATGGCAGCTCTGCTCTAACCATAGTAAGCAGGGCAATCCCAGGGACCATCCTGGAGGTGGTGTCACTGAAATGTTAGGTAGTGAGAGTCCTGGGTCATTCACCTGAGGCATTAACTGGATGCTGTGTTTGTGTTTTTCGTGCCCCTTGTGGGCCTCATCACCTTCCTCCTGTGGTACCTGACTCTGAGAGAAGAGACCAGGGTTTTCCAGTCTAGTTGGATCAGGGTGCAGTGGGCAGCAGACCCAACTCCCTGTTTCTTTCTCAAGGGATAGAGGAGAGAGTGAAGTGGGGGAGGCCAAGTCTCACAGATTATGTTGAGCACAGTAGGTGCCTCCCAGCCTGGACACTCATGATGGCTGTGCATGTGGGGTCCACACCCACCACCCCTGCACTTCTTGCCAGCACAAACCCTGATTCATCAGTGTCCCTGTCCCTGGTTCTGGACTGAGCCATGATCCCCTTGCCCTCCCCTCCCTTCCCTTCCTCCTTTGGCAGAGCTCACGTGAGGATGAGGAGGCAGAGGCAGAAAAGCAGGGTCTTGACAGCTGCTTCCACAATGGCCACTAGAACGACCAGCAGCCTGGGCCCTGATTTTCCTACAGGAAGGAGGGACGAGGAAGGAGTCACCTGCTCAATGACAATCCTGTGTCCTGTGACAATCCTGTGGCTCCACTGGGAACCTGGAGGTCATCCTCTAGGCCTTCCTGCATCCATAGACTCAGAACTGCCTGTGTCTTTACCCCTGAACCTGCCCTGACCCCTGGCAGTGGGACAGAAAATACAAGGTCTAGGTTGGAATTCATAAAAATAAAACATTGTGTTCATTGATTAGCATTATGGAAAAAGTGAAAAGCCAACTAATTTAATTGGAGAAATGTTTGCTAATGGTAGGTCTGATACTGTTGGTTATCCAGCACATATGAACAACTAATACAGTCCTGGCTGGTGGCTCAGGTGGTTAGAGTGTCATCCTGAAATGCCAAGGATGTGGGTTTGATCCCTGGTCAGGGCACATAGAAGAAGTGACCAATGAATCCATAAATAAGTGTAACAACACATCAATGTCCCTCTCTTTGTCTCCCTTTCCTCACTCTATAATCAATTTACAATATAAATCTTAAACAAAAAAACATTCTTACAACTCCACAACAGAAAGTCAAATAACCCCAATAAAAATGGGTAAAGGACTTGAAAAAATCGTCTTCATGATGAATACAAATGAGCAGTAAATACACAGGAAAATAAATGGCTTCATTGTTATTACACACAAATGCAAATCAAAGGTGTGCTGAAATAGCCCTTCATCCCCACTCACGACCTGTAATATTTTTCAAGGAGAATAACAATGCAGGTCATTGTGGGGAGAAATGGGAAGGCTTACACTTTGCTTTTGGGAACCTGAAGTGAAGCTGTCACTGTGGAGATCTGTCTGCAGTTTCTTCTAACAGTGACACACAGACACTACCCTGTGACCCAGCAATTCCACTCCCAGGCATGTGCCCCAAAAAACACATGTTCCAACAAAAAAAGCATAACCAGTATTCACAGCAGTGATCTCACCATCAAAAAGTCGAAACACCCAAATGTCTGCCTACTGATGAGTGGGTGAATGTGACACATCAGTACAATGGAGTGTTATCAAATACCATGTACAGAAAATGTATTATGAAATTATCTATCCAAGCCTATATGATATTATTAACCAGTATCACTTCAATACGTTCAATGAAAATGTAAAACAATAAAGAAAAAAATGAGAATAAAAATATGAAAGATGGATAGCACAAAAACTAAACACGAGCCTAGGGGACTCATCAGGAGAAGGTCTATCAGGAGCCCCGAAAGGCTGCTCTGCATGTAGGAGGTGCCTTGTTCTCCTGGTGCAGCTGACAGGGGGTCGGAGGAGTCCTCAAAAG